GTAGGACAGAAAATGACTTCTATACTTTTAAAATTTGTCCAAAATTTAGGAGGTCTTTAGACCAAGCCAACTATATTAAAAACTCACTTTAGTGGAAGTGAAATTATATGCTCAAACCAAACAAAAAAGTACCTCTAGTTAGTTATTAACACATCTTCAGAATCAAACCATATCAAACAACATCATTCACATTTTGTCTGTCAAAAAATAAATTGTTTTTCCAAAAAAAATAATACAGTAGAAATGCCATGTCAAAAAATAGAATACAACAAACTGATGCTGTGAGTATCTCTGGGTAAGCACTGTTACAAGTTATTATAAGAATGGTGGTGATGATTATGATGCATTGCAACATGTCATCACTCTAGTTATTAAAAAGATGGTGATTGCAATCATTGTAACTTGTCATTCTAGTTTACATAATTAACTTGAATAGTGATATATTTATAAAACCAAGAACAAAGAGATCAATTAAAAAAAGAAAAATTGATGAGGATGATGATTATAGGTAGGTTTCATTTTATTTTTTTCACATCTTTTTCCTTCTTACTTTAGTTATATGGGCAAAAAAAAAAATATTGATGACAATATCAATATCAGGGAAATCAAATCATCAAAATCATCTAATTGGTTATTATATAACTTTTAACTTTTAGTGACTCTGGTACTTTCTTTGGAAAGTGAAGATACACATCCAAATCATATAAGAATTACAATGGAAGAAACCATAATATTAGGACAAACAATTGATCCTCTGGAACTTGTTAAATTTCTAAAAAATATTGATATTTCAACAATAGACAAACCTATAAACCTATTTAACCTTTCATTACTAATCCAACAAATGTATAAAGAAGCATCATCAACAGTTAGCACGATTCAAGAATCATCAGAAACATTGTTGTCATCATCAAATCATCATTGTGTTTAGAAGTAGAAACAGCTGATCTAATAATTGAAGAATCATCAGAAATATTGTCATCATCAAAAAAATCATTGTATTTAGAAGTAGCCACAGCTGATCCAATAATGCAAAGGGAATCATCATCATCATCTCACTCAATCAGTGAGGAAGTTGAGGTTGAGAATGGAATTGAGGTTGGGGTTGAGATCAAGAATGAGGTTGGAATTGAAGTTGATAATGAAGAAGAATTAAGTTCTTTTGAAGAAGAAACATTATATTGGATTTCTGGAGCAAGAGAAAGATGGAGCATTGAGGAAATATCAATACTATTGAGATACATTTTCTCCCAAAAAATTTCATGTCAAGATCTCCATGAGTTGGGAATCACAAGAAGATCCAACGAATATCAAAAAATGGTCATCAATGAAATCCCAAATAAAGAAATGTTTTGGTGTGAATAGGGTTTGTATTCACGGATACTGTAAGGAGGTCATGCACTATTAAAATCAAGTGTATTTAAGGGGTTTTAATCAAACCCTAGGTGTGTGTGGTGATAATTGGATTTTTATAAATTTCATAATACAATAATTCCCCTTTAAATCTTATTTGCCTAATACATGATATCTTTATCTTACCTTGTGAATAACATCAATTTAATCAAAAATATAACATTTAAAAACAATTAATTGATATTTGATTATTACTTAAATAAAATCATAACAATAAAATTTATTTTGTCTGGTTTTGTTGTAGCATGCCCCATATTAAGGTTATTACACTTATTACTTTAACAATAAACATATATCTATCTTCTAATTCATAAAATAGTATTATAAATAAATTGAATTAACATTATTTAATCATTGTTCACTATAATCATTAAATCATTCATAATTTCCAAGTAAAATAAATTTAAAATATGAATTTTGATTATTTGCCACAAATAATAAATTGACCATGTTAGATGGATTGAACAAAAACGAAAGCTACCTGTATTTTTCCTTTCTTATTCTGTTATTCTGTCATTATGTTCTAAAACATCTAATATGATTTGAGGCTTCAGGTTCTTCACTAAATGTCACGCTATGATTTATGAGAGTTTTGATTAATAAATAACCTCACTACCTCTGTCTTCTTGAATAAATTTCCATGACTGTTCTAATATCTTTTTCATTGAACATCACTCCAAGTTTTTTTTCTGACCAGCATCCATTGTTAAATGTGAATTGTTTGCTCGTGTAAGAGTTTATAGTTGGTGTTGGAAGCTAGTAATGATATTTATGTCAAGATGTTTCCATTTCTATTTAATAATATGACTATATAATAATATAAAAATGAAATATTATTAGCACAGCTTTGTCTTATAAATCGATAGTTATTAAGGTTAACTTGATGACTGTTCAAAAATTATATAGTAGAGAACAAGAATTCACAACTTTACTTGTAGAATTCGCAACATATGTTGAACTTTACACTATCTTTTCGATAAAACTTTACTAACCAAAGCCATCAAAAGTACACTGTTCAATAGATTTAATCCTAGAGAGTATATATACAAAGTTTCGTTCAAGTTTCGCAATTTTACAAGAAGATTTGTTTGTTCAAACCTTAAAATTGTGGTCTTGTAATTTTTTTACGATAGTATGTAAATCAATTTAAAGAAAGCATCCGGGCACGATTCCCCATTTCTTTATTAAGAAGAAAACAGGGTCTAATATCTTCATCAGTTATATAAACTACATGTCATAGGATAGTATTATGTAAAAAAAACACAATTTGGTCAAAGGTGATTTTTGTTGGTGACAGTCCCATATATAGAAATAATGTTTAACTTACAAGACAGGTAATACTTATTAGAAATCTTGGTGGAGATTTGATTAATGGATAAAGCTCGAGTTTGATGTCACGTAAAATTTTTTAGATTAATTCTACTATTTCATAATACTTTATTTATGCACATTACCTAAAAACAATTTAAAACCTTCTTGACTTGAAAATTCAAGTTTTAACTCGAGCCTGCTCAACTTGGAGAATAAAATAAATAAAATGAATACAACATGCATGTTATAAATGATTTGAGGGGTATATACCATATTTATATCCGGCATACCATACTAAAAAATTACACAAGAAATTGATTGTGATAATGAATGGTATATACTGTTGGTTGGTATATATTAATACCACTAATATAACAATTTTGGTTTGAATATTTATCCATAAGAAATACTGATTGTAGAATAAACTTATGTTATGCATCTTTATAGGATTCTTGATTGTTACTGTTATCTTCTAAATTAATAAGTTCATCAAAATCATTATTATCATCATAATTATCACCATCATAATCATAGTCATTATAATCGAAATCCAAGTCATTGTCAACTTCTTCATCTTCTGCTTGATATTCAGAATCAATTTTCAAACCTTTTTCATATAAATTAGATAATCTTAAGTTTGAATACATTTTAGTTTGCGAGCCTATTTATTCTAACATTATGGATATAACCAAAATCACTCCAATTCATTCTGATACCGCAGAAGAAACAGGTAAAAAATGTTTATTATTTTTATACAACTATGGTGTAAAAAGTGGTAATGGTTAAGGTTTCTGGTCGAAACTGCTTCTATTAGTAGCCGAAATTGCCCAAATACTTTGGGCAAAAATTATTTTTTTA